AGACAAGTTCAATAAAGATATTATTTGCCCTACAGACAGTAGAATAGTATAGTACTCTTGGTTGTCTTACTTGGTAAGTTTGTTTGTTCAATTGATATATTACACACCAACGCCCTTTATTTTCCACTGAAAACAACAATTATATGATACTGAGACTAACAGACATAAATGTTTTTTCTCTTTTTTTGTGTATGTTCCGATTGCTTGCTTAAAACGTAAATGGTTGTGTGCATGAAATGAATGATAAACATAACAAATTACATTATAACGCATATCTCTATACATATACTGATTAAAAAAGGTAAATTTCCCATTTCCGACCATAGGGCAGATTATGTTGAGTCCGTATGTTTTTTTAACTCGGCATAAGAAATGATGGCGTGGTCAGCATTATGCCTGTTGCATTACTTTCTGTAAAGTGAATCGATACCCATCAGACCTGCGTGGACTCAAGCATGTCCCTCAGTATAGTGTCCGGAAAAAGATACGAACTCGAGATTATCAGGGTAGGAAACAATTCAATATTTTCTCAGCAGTGATTATCTCATCATCTTAAAGGGGGAGAACAAACCAAAAATATAACCAATTTAAGAAGAAAATACTCTTTCAATTTAATTGCGTATTTAAGACAGATGTACATCTTTCTTTACTGTTGCAGAGAGGTGGAACGCAGTGGCGTAGCGAGGTCGGGTGTCACCCGGTGCGGCACTTAATGGTGTCACCACCCGGAGGCTTAGCGACCATTCCCGGGGACAAACTTTCAAGTTTTCGATTTGCACCACCTCTCAAACTTTCGATTTTCACCCCCCCCCCTCAAGTTTTTCTCTATCTATATATTTTGCTATTTTTTGCCTTGGTGTCACCCCCCCTCAAATGGTGTCACCCGGTGCGTTCCGCACCCCCCCCTCGCTACGCGCCTGGTGGAACGTAAAAAAGAGAAGAAAATAAATTTAAGCTACACTCATGTAGATTGGTTATTAAAAATTATTCACAAACACATGTCATTTTTTTTAAAATGATTGAGTGGGGTAATAGGGTGATTCCAATGCCACGTATTTACAGAGACAACAAAATTATGAGTGAATAAATTTGAATACACCATCAACAGAAAGGTGATTGAGACGAATACACAGAAAATAGAGTATATCTCAGGTATTTCTTAGAAGAAGCATAGTTCTCCCCTTATCACCTGCCCCCCCCCCCCTTGCAGAAGCATATCCACAACCCCTTAGAATGAAATAAAAAAATATTTTACATTGAAATGAAAAATGAACCGCCCATCCCAACACACACACATGAACAATCATGTCTGAAAGGAACACGGATTATAAATTTAAAAACAAAAAAACAACTTATCGTTTTGGTTAACTAAATGTAGGCCTACAAAGAACAGAACTAAACTAAATACATTACCCTTTAGAAAAAGGTATACCAATTACGTCCCCTTCTACGAATTGATTCCCAGAAAAAAAACATACTTTTTCTAGGAAAAAGGGCAAACATTTATCTGATTACCATGGTTTGATAAAGTGTTAAGTGGTAGGTAAATCACTGGGATTTTAAATACGACCGTTAAAATATCTTACACCCTAAATGTTACTAAGTATTAGTTTTGATCAATAACAGTTTAGAAGCCGTTGTTTTAAATGTTTAAGTTTATGTTTCCATTTGCGTCATTGTTTGCGTTCGTGTTTGCCTTTATTTGCGTTTGTTTTGCGTTTTTATTTGCGTTTGTGGTTGCATTTTCGTTGTTTTTTTAGTTACGTTTATGTTTGCGTTTGTGTTTGTGTTTAAATTTGTGTTTCCGTTTCGGTTTGAGTGTGGTTTTGCGTTTGTCTTTGTGTTTGCATTTGTGTTTGTTTATTATTTTGAGTTTAGGTTTTGTTTGTTGTTGGTTATGGTTAGGGTTACGTTTAGAGGTAGAGTTAGGTTTAGTGTTATGCATTATTATCTCAAACGTCTGTATTTGCATATAAACATTTAATTGGAAAAGTAATATGTTTCTTAAATCAGGGCATTGCATGGTACACTACTGCTTAATAAACACGCACGTCACGTTCCCCTATACAGATGGGTTTTTCACAGGGAAGAGTGCAGGGCCTGGCTGGGATGGTTATTATCTGTGTATATGTATAGTATTATGTATTTGAATATATATATATATATATATATATATATATATATATATATATATATATATATATATATATATATATGTGTGTGTATGTGTGTCTGTAAATGTGCATGTGTGTGAGTGTGTGTATGAAGGGCGAGAGGGAAACATTTAAATTTAATAATCTTTATTGTAAAATGTTCTCATAGTTTTGATTTTATTTTATTTAATGCACTAGCGTGTGTGTTCTTCTGTTAGCTATGCTAATATGTGTACATTTTTACTGTGCTCTTATTTATTTCTTAATATCTACTATATTGGAAATTTAACGTTTAAGCAATGTGTTACACAAATTTTGTCAAGAAATACGTTTACTTGGTCTTTAGAGAAAAAATTAATTTTAATTAAAGCAATGCATTATCATATTCTTTGTATTCATGTATGCAGCGTTTTGTTTTGCTATTATACTTTAATGTTATATATAATCAAATTTCATTTATGAGAATGATTGTATCAACAATACATTTGTGACTTTGAACATAAAATTGCACAATTCATTCTAAAAGTTTCTGTATCCTGGCAAGGTTTAATAGGAGGACAAGTTCTGCACATTGTATACAGTATACGTCAAACAAAAACAATAATGTATGACTAAGCTACAGGAGACACACTGGAAAAGAAATATTTCCGCGTAAAAAAAATGTTTCCACATGATAAAACACTATAATCATCCAAATCACAGAGCGTCGCGGTATTTAAAACGTGTGTCGATGACTGACTTCAACGTTTTCTGTCAACCAGCTTTAGAATTAATGTATATTTTATTTCAATAGTCGAGACGGCGATAAAAAATGCATACATTGACGCATAATTTAGCAATGAAGAGAGAGGTTTTTTTTTTTAAAATCTAGGTTATAACATAATAGATCTTGCATTATTGATATTTGTCGTCAGCTCTAGTTATCGCTGTTTTCGTTTGGTTTATAGATGAGAATAAATATTTTTACAGACGTTTTCTTAGTTCAGTGTCTGCTTTTTATGAGTTAGTTGCAAATCTTGTAAACGCGTTTCAACTCAAGATACGGCCCTTTTTCGAGGATATTGCAAAATAAATATGTTTCCATTCTATGTATAATTAGATTTGTCATGAAATTGTAATTGAAAAATTATTATATCGAACACTAATGGGGAGATAAAAAGATTAAAACTTAGCGATCGATTGTAAAATTATCTATTGAGGGATTGCTGTCAAGGCTGTTCGATATCTTACCAGAGCGCCCATATTGGTTTAAAGTGGGGCAGAAAACGTATTTGTAGATCATAAGCTACTGGCAGTGATTGAACGCAATTTCAATAATTTTTTAATTAATGATTTAAACAAGTACATTTATAACAAACGAGAAATAAAACGAAAATAAGAAAATAAATCAAATATAAAAAAATAAACGATTTGTATTTATTAAGAGATCTCATGAGCGACCAAACCTTTTTTACATTATGCGAATTTGTTTTATTTCCTTTATTTTAGTATATTTTAAAAGCTTTTTATTATAAAAAATTGTTTAATTATAATATACGAGCAGACCCGCGGCATATCATACGCCGCTATTTAGTTGTTTTTTCTATTTTTCAGTTATTCATAATTTGTGAATTTTGTGAATTCGACACTACCAACGTTGCCATTGAAAATATTTCTTTAAAACACTATAAGTAGCTCGGTAAGGACGATAACCCCCCCCCCCCTCCCTCCTTCACCCCCACCCCTCCGTTAAAGTAAACTCCACTTAGTTACCCCCCCTACGTTTAAAATCGTTTCAAACTAAATTATCTGCCCCTAATAGTCGTCACTAAACCCGGCTGTGTTTGTAATGTTTGTAAACATTAAGAGTGAACCACAACTCACCAGACCATGTAGGGGTGGGGACGTAGGGAGCGCGTTTGCAGCTTGTTTTCTAGCGGCTCCCAGAAGAGAATTATATATATAGATTTTTAGTCAACGAAGTCTGTTTGTTTTATTTTCATTTGTGACATGTGGCCCGTTTTTCAACTTAATTGTACACTCATTTAATGCAGATATACATTTTTTTGTGACAATTCAATGATATATATTTTGTAATAGTATAAGCATTTTGTTTTATTTGTAATGTCTGATTGTGGATTGTTGCATATCGTGAAACTCAATTTTCTCTTCTTGTTCCCTTTCTTGCCCAAGACACATGGGACAGATGCAGTAGAATTTATCAGTTACAATTGTAGAAATGTCATTTCATGAAAATATATGGACAATTGGTCATTAAAATATAACTTTATAACACATAAAACAGATTTAAAGCGATTACTCCATCCACAAGTTTGCAACGGTAACTTGTTTTAAACTATAGAACGATTTTTTGCTTGAGCATCGAACACGAAAGTTTATATATTGAAAGCCATTGGTCGAGTTTTAACGCAAATATATATAGCTATAGCTTATGCGGTCTCAGATTCATTTAGATTTATAACCAACTACTAAAACGTGTAAAATGAAACGAATGTAATTAACAAGCAGTTGAAGTTCTACAAACAGCAAAAATTAAATTCAATAAAAAATAATGTATAGGCCTACTTTTAAGCAGTATTTTAATAAAACAATTTAAGATGTTATCTAACTAATCGTTGTAATTTAAGACTTATAGAGTGTTATTTTTCAAATGCAAATATCGCTCTGTGTTAGTTATCTTCCCCTGCGTACTTTCAAAATGGAAGTTTTATTTTTAGCCTTTTCAGCTGTGTCCTTACAAATATAACTCAAACAAAAGTACTGAGCGTCGGTGTTGTGAAGGCCAAACTGTCCATCAACACACGAGTACCCTTGTATGTCCAACTCCTGCTTGTGCCGGAACTCTGGTCAGTACATCGCTCCGATGATTTGCTCGTCTGTACTGGACATGTTGGCTTTGAGCAACTCTTGTACTGTAGATTTGTAGGATTTGACGAATGTTCTTATTACCTGTGGATAGGAGGAGGATTGTACTGCTAAGATTCAATGAAAGTAAGAAATACGCATAGAATCATTTTTTAGGATGATTATCTTTAGAACTAATTACCTCCCTTAGATACAATTATTTCCCTTAAAACACATTACATCGGGGAAAAAAATACTTTTTAGTACTGAGTTTTGGTTTGGGAAAAAAACAATTGCATATTTAGCGTGGATTGATATAATGCAATGTGGTGAGAAAAACAATAATCTTTTAAATACTGCCTTTTATTTATTTTATACACTGAACGCACTGGTTTTTTTTTAAAATATTATGTGTAATTAATAACACTTTAGAAGCCTCTTAAGAATGCCCTCTATGTTTACTTCTATCTTTCCGTGTGCGTTCGTGTTTTCTTTGTGCTTGGTTTGGGTTTGCATTTGTGGTTAGGTTTGTGTTTGCGGTTGGATTTGGGTTGGTTTTCTTTTACTTCTATGTTTGCGTCTGTGTTTGTGTTTTCTATGTGTTTATGTTTGTTTTTGCGTTTGTGGTTTGGTTTGTGTTTTCAAAAGCGTTTGTGTTTTCGTTTGTGTTTGTATTTCTGTTTCGTTTATGTTAGATTTGCGTTTTTTTGTGTTTTGGTTTTGGTTGTTGTGGTTAGGGTTAATTAATTTAAAAACAAATTAATTCATACATAAATTCAAGAATATCTGCTAGATAATATAACGCATTACTTTTTTTAAAAAGCGTTCTAACTTGTACGTTTTGAGCATTGGGCCAATGACATTTGGTCAAGTGTTTTTCTGGCAAATCTTTATTTAAGGTAAAGTTACAAGCACCCACCTGATGAGTACCCATGACGTAACCACCAGCTAACCACACGTAGCTATTTTTGATGTAGTCCCACGGGCTGAGCTTCTCCATTGTATGTCTGGGAGCCACCTCGGTAAAACCCACTCTACTGTTGTTGAAATCTGGAGGGATCTCCAATGTGAAGTTCTTGTTCCTATGCCCCATTCTGTCTTCAAGGAGGTTTCTAAGTTTGCATGGAATTTTATCTTGTAAAACGTAAACATTTTTTTTTAAAATCCTGTAATGTGTCGAAGTTAATGTAATGTTAAACTTTTATACTACGCAAATATTGATATTTATACAACTATTCCAAACTGACTGCTATTCTAGGTTCAGACTTTCATTAACCTTTTTGTGCGTCACACAAGGAAAAAAAAATTACCACTTCCCAACAGTGTAGAAAAACAGTTCAAAACCTAATTGGCAAAGAAATACAGAAACGGGGTTGGATAGGACGCACCTTGTGTAAAACAAATGGAAATATCACCAGCTATGCCATGCCATCCCCAAGAAAGAGGAAGCAGGTAGATCAAAATAAACTTGGTAAATGTCGTACGAATTTCGTAGATCTAGCAACCTAAATATCGCCCAGTACCGAGTACGACGGAGATGGTGGTTTCACCCCAATAATCCACAAGAAATCCATAGGAATAATGATGATGAAGATGTTATTCTTTAACTTAATCATCACTCTCCTTAATTTGATTACAAATGAACTTGAATTCTGGATAAATGTTGTGGGCTGGATTGAGGCTCTAGTTAACAACATTTTAATAATTATTAAATTATTAAAATAACGAGCCGACCCGCTGCGTATCATACGCCGCTATTTAGTTGTTTTTTTTCTACTTTTCAGTAATTTATAATTTGTGAATTCGACAGTACCAATGCTGCCACTGAAAATATATGCTTAAAAACACTAAACCCCCTTCCCCCCCCCCCCACGTGAAAGCAGCCTCCTCTTAGTTACCTCTTCTAAGTTTAAAATCGTTTCAAACTAAATTATCTGCCCCTAATAGCCGTCACCAAACCCGTCTCTATGATTGTAAAATGTAAACAGCGTGACCACAGCTCACATGACAATGTTGGGGTGGGGTGGGGGTGGTAGTGATAGTGATAGAGAGAAAGAGAGGGGACTGCAAGGAGGCGCTTGCAGCTTGTTTTCTAACGGCTCCCAGAAGAGAATTATATATATAGATTATTAAATTCAAGTGTGTCTGTAAGGTCTTGTGCACATGAAATCTTAATTATTGTGTTATTCAGGCGTGTTAGAATAGTAGCATAAACTCCTTCAGTGAATGAGCAAAGTAGTTTCATGTTCTTACCTAACCAAACCGGTGTCCTTATTAACACAGTATAATACTAAAACAAATTAAAGCTCATATCTAATTGGCCAATATCTATTTTTAACAGCACATGCATAAATTTAGGTTTCCAAAACTGAAAACAAATGTCAATACCTAATCTGACCAACATACACATATTATACAAGAAATGACCTTAGCTTTTCCATGCCATAACCCAACATGTCTAAACCTTACCTAAAAAGACCAATGTCCATCCACGCCAGATACTTAGTCTGTACCAGCTTGAGGGCCATTGCCAAGATGAGGGCGTCGTATTTAGCACTCATGGTGCAGCTGTAGTTAGCGTCGATCATCGTGGGAGGTAGGTTGGAGTACGAGCTGTTCTTGTAGACTTGTTGGATCCTCTCTAGGTTTTTGAAGGCGCCCAGCTGAGACCTGGAGATTTTCACAATCACAGTTCTGTCGTCGGGTTGATGGGAGCGGATTTTCCTGTATGGTGGATAGGGTAAATGGTAGGCGTAGTTATAAATAAGTATGCAAAATGTATATACATATATATATATGTATATATATATATATATATATATATATATATATATATATATATATATATATATATATATATATATATATATATATATATATATATATATATATATATATATATATCTGTTATTATGGTATCGATATAGAAAGAGAGGTTGTTGATAACATAGCTACTGAGTCAAATATCAAGAAATTTGAAGACGAAATCGTGAAGAATCTAGTGGACCATGTGCCAGCGCTGTCTATACAATGTTAAAAATAACTAATCAAGTAGTAGAAGCATATGGAGGGAACATGACTTTCAGAAGATGCTAGCAAATCATATACAACATTCAGACAAGAGGTAGTCAGAGATTACACATCCATACACAACATGTTGAGTGGGATATCTGTGTTCACCCAAATGTCCTTCGAAGTGTTAAGAACGTCAATGAACATGATGTTTAAAAAATAATATTGTGATGGGTTTTTGGTTTTTAAGCATGATATTCTTAAAAAGCAAACTTATCAAAAATTTAAATTGACCTACTTAAAATATTGTAAAATGTCCTCATCTTCGAAAAACGCCACAACTGGATTTTTCAGCCAGCACCACGTTGTCATCCATTGCTTGTATTTAGTTAATGTCCGTATGCCGGAATTCTTCTTTAAAGTCCCCAGTTTTAGAAACATCGTCACTATGGTGATAGAAGGAACATCATCTTCTATCTTGTCGATGATGTACTGAAAAGTAAGTCATTCAACTTAGTGTTAAGAAATGAATGTCTGATCAAAGCACTAGTCTGACTTCTCAAGGTACCACTTATCAAAAACCAGACCCAATTAACAAGTGATTCCTTTTGGTACCAGAATGGCTTAATAGAATAAAGGTTAAACAAACACTTCTCTAACAACGGTGTAGCTTTAATGGTTACTTTCACAATTCTGTTTTTTACTTTCTCGTATATACGTAGTATAGAGAAAGTATTGTAATCGTGCAAACAAAAAAAATCGAGATTTTTACAAATCTCGACGTTTTACACCTCACTGATACGGAAAAACATAATTTTGCAATCTTGTCCGTATGTCTGTGTGTGTGTGTGTCTGTGTGTGTGTCTGTCCGTGTGTAAACACGATAACTTGAGTACCGTTACAGCTAGGTTGATGAAATTTCATATATAAGTATTGTATCAAAATCGTAGATCCGTATCAACTTTTGAGCGATTTCCGATAACCGGAAGTGGTACTTTTCCTACTTTGAATTTTTTAAAAGCCTATAACTTGAGTACTATTTCAGATAGATAAATGAAATTTCACATGTAAGAAAAAGATCTAATCCTCTACCTTCTGTTAAATTTTGAGTAATTTCCGTTGACTGGAAGTAGTAATTTACGCTACTTCCGATTTCTCAAAAAACTAATGTAAATTTTAAAAGTACTAATAATATTGCGCACTATTATGCGCTTTTTTTATTTGCGTTCACTTGGTGTGCAATTAATTTGTCTACGAGATTTTATTCTATTTTTAAAACTTTAAGTATTTAAAATGGATTAAAAATCATGTCTATAGCCCGAGTTTCCATCCCCTGTTATTTTATATAAGAATATTCGAGAAAGTTTAGGGGAGATCACTCCCGGTTTATTTTTAAATACATTGTAAAATGGTATTTTAAGTTTCATTTAATTACTTCTGCTTCTTCTTTCTTCATTAAAATGTTAAAAGGGATTTCGTCCAGCACACTCAAGTATTATGTGTCAACATTTCTTTTTTGATTATCTCTCTCTTAAAGCGTTTGCAATTCAATAATAAATTTTAAAAAATAACAACTACAATTATTCTATTTTTGTTGTTGTTGAGTTTTCTCTCCTAGATGTTTTGCTATTCATAGCTATTGAGCATCATGTGCCTGCAAGTTATTACAATTCGTAAGCTCCATCGCTTCCTATAAAGCAAACTTCTACAAACTGAATGTGCATTACCTACAGATGTTTAAGATGTTAAACTTTATTATAGGCCAAGATGACTTAATTTTTTAAAAACTACATTTATTTACCTTTAATTCGATACTAATTTTAAGTATCAAAATTAATCGGTGGCACAGAAAACTATGTTTAAAAAAAACGTGTTTGTATTTATCTAGCTACGATACTATGATACAGAGGCTTAGTTTATAGACAGTATTGTGACGCGGTTGACCGTTCAGCAGAATTGTGTCGTCTGCTGGACTTCTTCCAGTTCAAATAAAAGGATTGCAAAATGGGCGGGATTACTAGGCTGTTGTCTGGAATAAGTTTTATACATATATATATATATATATATATATATATATATATATATATATATATATATATATATATATATATATATATATACATATATATATATATATATATATATATATATATATATATATATATATATATATTTACCCTGATAAATTCTTTAAATCATGTTTTATTTCGTTTAGTAAGACGTAATATACAATTTTATATTTGTCGCACCAAGTTTGAGTGTTATCACAATATTATAAAAAATACAATTAAATTAAATGGACATTCTATAGACAGGCACTTAGAAATAACAACTTAAATTAATATTGTAACAAGTTTTAATTTTTCTAACATATTTCAGAAACTCATAGTGTTTTCGTCCTATAACTACTTTTTTTAATCGTTCACTTGCAATCCAAATTGAGATACAATGTTTGTTTTTTTAATTTTATCTTCATAGTTTCCTTTCTAGTTTCCCAATGTTAGACACAATGACTGGCACGGCATGAACCACACAAGCTTTTAAGTTAATAATAATTTTAAATTGATATGAAATTTTCAACTTACTGTTTCGTTATTTTGTGTTGTGGCATTTGAAACCACACATAACTGCTTCACCTTCGCACTAACAACACTTTTGACATAACCCTGCATAGATCAAAAAATTAATTAGAATAGAAACAAATAAAAGTAAAAATTCACAAGCTTTCAAATTTTTTAAAAAAATTTTCTGTTTGTCCGTCCTTCCATCCTTCCGAGTGCCTGACTGCACGACTGCCTACCTGCCTGCCTCTCTGTCTGTAAGTCAATCTGTCAATCATCAGTCAGTCAATAAGTCAGTCAGCAAGTCAGTCAGTCAGTCAGTCAGCAAGACAGTCAGTCAGTCAGTCAGTCAGTCAGTCAGTCAGTCAGTCAGTCAGTCAGTCAGTCAGTCAGTCAGTCAGTCAGTTAGTCAGTCAGTCAGCCAGTCATTCAGTCATTCAGTCATTCAGTCATTCAGTCATTCAGTCATTCAGTCATTCATTCAATCATTCATTCATTCATTCATTCATTCATTCATTCATTCATTCATTCATTCATTCATTCATTCATTCATTCATTTATTCATTCATTCATTCATTCATTCATTCATTCATTCATTCATTTATTCATTCAGTCATTCAGTCATTCAGTCATTCAGTCATTCAGTCATTCAGTCATTCAGTCATTCAGTCATTCAGTCATTCAGTCATTCAGTCATTCAGTCATTCAGTCATTCAGTCATTCAGTCATTCAGTCATTCAGTCATTCAGTCATTCAGTCATTCAGTCATTCAGTCATTCAGTCATTCAGTCATTCAGTCATTCAGTCATTCAGTCTGTCATTCAGGTCATTCAGTCATTCAGTTATTCAGGCATTCAGTCATTCAGTCATTTAGTCATTCAGTCATTCAGTCATTCAGTCATTCAGTCATTCAGTCATTCAGTCATTCAGTCATTCAGTCATTCAGTCATTCATTCATTCAGTCAGTCATTCAGTCAGTCAGTCAGTCAGTCAGTCAGTCAGTCAGTCAGTCTGTCTGTCTGTGTGTCTGTCTGTCTTCTGTCTGTCTGTCTGTCTGTCTGTCTGTCTGTCTGTCAGTCAGTCTGTCCGTCTGTCCGTCTGTCTGTCTGTCTGTCTGTCTGTCTGTCTGTCTGTCTGTCTGTCTGTCTGTCTGTCTGTCTGTCTGTCTGTCTGTCTGTCTGTCTGTCTGTCTGTCTGTCTGTCTGTCTGTCTGTCTGTCTGTCTGTCTGTCTGTCTGTCTGTCTGTCTGTCTGTCTGTCTGTCTGTCTGTCTGTCTGTCAGTCTGTCTGTCTGTCAGTCTGTCTGTCTGTCTGTCTGTCTGTATCTCTGTATGTCTGTCTGTCTGTCTGTATGTCTGTCTGTATCTCTGTCTGTCTGTCTGTCTGTCTGTCTGTCTGTCTGTCTGTCTGTCTGTCTGTCTGTCTGTCTGTCTGTCTGTCTGTCTGTCTGTCTGTCTGTCTGTCTGTCTGTCTGTCTGTCTGTCTGTCTGTCTGTCTGTCTGTCTGTCTGTCTGTCTGTCTGTCTGTCTGTCTGTCTGTCTGTCTGTCTGTCTGTCTGTCTGTCTGTCTGTCTGTCTGTCTGTCTGTCTGTCTGTCTGTCTGTCTGTCTGTCTGTCTGTCTGTCTGTCTGTCTGTCTGTCTGTCTGTCTGTCTGTCTGTCTGTCTGTCTGTCTGTCTGTCTGTCTGTCTGTCTGTCTGTCTGTCTGTATGTCTGTATGTCTGTCTGTATGTCTGTATGTCTGTCTGTATGTCTGTATGTCTGTCTGTATCTCTGTCTGTCTGGCTGTCTGTCTGGCTGTCTGTCTGGCTGTCTGTCTGGCTGACTGTCTGTCTGTCTGTTTGTTTGTCTGTCTTTCTGACTGTCAGTCAGTCAGTCAGTCAATCAGTCAGTCAGTCAGTCAGTCAGTCAATCAGTCAGTCAGTCTGTATGTCTGTCTTTCTGTTTATTTGTCTGTCTGTTTCTCTTTCTATCTGTCTGTCTTTCAAAAACGTACCCTTATCACGCCTCGAGGTCCATCCAATCTAAGTTTACCTGATAAAAATATACATATTTTAAAACATTAATATTCTGCTATGTATACATATGTTTGAAGAAGAACTATCATTAAAATACATTGGCTTTCTATTATGATGGTTTAAGTTAATTTATGTTAACTTGTTAAGCAACATCATCGTCTCATCATCAATAGGGTGGTCAGCACTATATTCGGCCTTTTTTCCTTAAAGTGAATTAGGTACCCGTTGTAGATGAGTGAACTCAGAAAGGTTTTATTGAGTTGAACCCGGATTTGAATCTAGTTCTCAACCTCTATGCATGATACAGACAGTCTATTCCGATTTTAGCCTGCATTTCTCGTTCGAAATTCAATTCTTTAATACCATTGTAAATTCAAGATAAAACTACAAGGCAGCAGTTGTTTGATTTCGGTGTTGTCTTTTCTATATGGATTGGCGTCCCCTATCGAGCCTCATCTGCAAGGAGTTTCGAACTAATGCTGTTTCGATATAGCATTCATTAGCTTTATGACCAGACCATGCCGACTTCATATTTTTTTTTATTCTCGATTACGAGTAAAATTCGTGTAGCTTTCAACTCTAATTTGTCATAGTCTGCTGCTTGTTAATAATTGACTTTATGGCTTTAAAGCAAAAACGCATCAACTTACCCAATATAGTGTTGTCTTTATTCAACAAAATGAAGAAGAAGGCTATCGACAAGAGGGTAATTAGGATCTTTATTCTTAATTTCATCTAAAAATAAAATTTAAAAATATTCAATGTTTAATATACATTTTTCATTTTGTTAAAGAGATAAGTAATACAATAAAAGCAGATTTATTATTTAACTAGCCGTCCCGGCTAGGCCCTGCTCTGGCCTCTGTGAAAAACATATCTGTAAAGGACCATGACATATGTGTTTTGTAATCAGCATATACCCGGCATAACCACAACCAACCAAAACCAAAACACACAAAAAAAGAACGGCGAACTTAACACAAACAAACACAACACAACACCAACAGAACACAACCACAACACAATCACAACATAACACAACACAAACAAAACACAACACAAACAAAACACAACACAAACAAAACACAACACAACACAAACAAAACACAACACAAACCGGGACGGCTAGTATTATATAAAATTGTACATCTTCTTGTAGTTTGGTGCAGGTGTCTATAAAAGAGCTTTCTGAAACCTATCTGTAAAGAAAGATGACATGTGTGTTTAGTAATCAGCATATACCCGGCATTGCCCACCCTAACCACAACCAACCAAAACCAAAACACAAATAAAGAAAGGAAACATAACATAAACGCAAACACTAATACAAACGATAACACAAACCCAAACCAAACCACAAACACAAAACTAACCACAAACACAAATACAAACACAAACCCAAAGAAAAAAAAACACAAACGAAAACGAAAAAGAAAGAACGAAAACGAACTAAATCAAAGCGCAAATCCAACCACTAACGCAAACCCAACCTAAACACAAAGAAAACACAAACGCAAACATAAACGCAAAAGGCTCAGTCTAGCCATGCTGGGGCGCAAGCGGAATCGCCTGTTTCAGCTTAATAAACGACTATAATACCCCAACTTATTCATAGTCTTTTGCACTCACTTATACGAACGTAGGCGCCAAACCGAACACAGGAGGCCCGGGGCACCAAATGAACAATTATAATACTCCAAGCTTATCCGGAAACGGTAAGAAATAAACATATAGGTCATGTAGGACCTGGCTTATTAACTGTTATTGATTTTAAAAAATAATTAGTAAACAGTAAGTTCAGTGTATAGAATAAATAAAAGGCAGTATTAAAAATACCTACAATATTTGCACTTCATCAATCCCCGCTAATTATGTAATTTTTTTTCCCAACACCAAAACAAAGTAATAAAAAGTAAATTCTTTTCCACTAATGCAATGTTTTATATAGGGAAGTAACTGTGTTTTCCAAATCAAGGGACGTTATGAGAACTAAAGGACAGAATGCAAATACATTTCAGACACAATTTTAGAAATTTTAGAAACGTTGATACACTTTTTTTTAAAATTTTATGAATTGTTCATAATTGAAAATTATTATTCTAAGTATATAAAATGAAAATTGTTTTTAAAGACTTTCAATAGTAATTTTTAAACTCATAAATTTAGACCATGAGCACTATAATAATCTAACACTTAAATCCATGGAAGTATTCACTACACACTTATTACAAACATACATAATTGAACTTTATATATTAGACCTTGATAAGCTTGTAAAAAAGTAAGAATTGTAATATTGATACTGTCGTAATTTAAGTGAAGATAAAATACAAATAATAATAATAATAATAATAATAATAATAGTAAGTATAATAATAATAAATATAATAAATATAGTAATAATATGAATAATAGGTCAGGTCCGGTTCGGTTCGGTACGGTCTGGTTAGGTTAGGTTAGGCTAGGCTTGGCTAGGTTAGGCTAGGTTAGGTTAGGTTAGGTTAGGTTAGGTTAGGTTAGGTTAGGTTAGGTTAGGTTAGGTTAGGTTAGGTTAGGTTAGGTTAGGTTAGGTTAGGTTAGGTTAGGTTAGGTTAGGTTAGGTTAGGTTAGGTTAGGTTAGGTTTTGAGATTACTATTTATAAAAAAATGTTTTTGTTAAATTAAAATTAAGCATCCCTATTTGTTTTTCTACTCACTCATTTTTAAAAGTGTAGTCAATATAAATTAAAATAACATGAACACAAAAATGAGTGTAATAAACTTAGTTTTTCTTTTAATATATTAATTACAATAGAATCGACTTACCTGAAATTATTATTAAATTAGTTTGAAACACTATATATAATTTGTTATAGAAAGGTAAAGTAAAAAATTTGGACCACCCTCTAACAAACACAAAAGCGAATAATGTTCTTGTCGGCTTATAAGACACCTGCAGCTTAAAAGGTTCTCTGACCCAAAATAGAAATTTCCTCTTCGCCTTGGGCTTGCATTGCCTTTTACTTCTTTTTAAATATTTTTTTCACGATTCATCATCCAAGTAAAATTGTGATTCAATAGCTTGCATACAGCAATAGCCTTCATATATGTTTAGGTAAAGTGACAGGTTTTGGAATTAACCATCACGAGTCTTATTTATGGTTTGACAATAAAAAATGTAAGTGTTAAACTTTAATGTTTATCATTGTACTCTTTTAGGTTTACAATAAACATTTAGTTTTAAAATATTTAGAATTATGTGTAAGATTGCTTAAAATAGTAGGATATGGGGCTTTTGGGCATTTGTCCAATAAAAGCAAGTGTCCATTTAGGCATTTATCGCATTCGACCGTGTCCATTTGGGAAAATGTCCGGCTCCAGGACGAAATACAATATTGATATATCAATATTATATATATATATATATATATATATATATATATATATATATATATATATATATATATATATATATATGCATATATTTATATACATATATTTATATACATATTTTTTATACATATATTTATGTATAAAATCTTCTAATTTTGTCCTGTCTAATGTTGTGGTTTTGTTCTGTTTTTTTTTTAATGTGTTACAAGGATTTTTTTCTTTTAAAGTGATGTTTGTGTGCGCAATTTTTAATATTGTTGAGTTGTGTTGTGCATTTGTATATCTTTACAAAAAAATATATAAGTTTAGCGATTACATTGGGTCCGATTATTCATTTGTGTCAAAATAATGGTGTTGTGCAGGTAAGCGAAAATATAGTCTGTTGATACAGACGTAAGGTAAATATTTTAACCCGAATAAGGTTTAAAGAATTTACATTGCGAAACAAAATTACCTGGGTAGGTATAAGTGTTGTATTTTTTTTTTAAATGAGAAATTATAACTCCTACATTGTTAAATTTGATTAGCAATAGATATGGTTAAAATTTTTCTCAATATTTGATTGCATGCAGAGTCCTAATTTATTAGAATACGCTTATTTGCGTAGATGCACAGACGCGAAAATTCATGGTTGCGTACACTGATACATGTGTATATACATAAATACACACACATATTAATATATCCTAATATATAAAAGTCCATGTACGCACGTCTCTCTCACTTTCTCTGTCCGCAAAATATTTTCGCAGGGTATCACATCAGAATCTATAGCGATATATGGGGAACTTGATACGGACTTTTGTTGAAAATAATATGGTAAATGTTTCAAATGTATTACCAACATTTTATTTAAAGAAGAAAAATAAAAAAAAGGCATATTCGAATGTAGAAAAACAGTTTCAATTATGCAACAGGAAAAGTGTTGTGAAAAAAACTCATGAAACAATGACGTCCCTAATGTTTATACATTAACTAAAGACGTCATCTGCCGAGTTTAGAATAAAAAGAAATGAACTATGTCATTCAAATTTGATGTAGATCTACGTACACTATAAAATGTATACAATACAATTTTTCCGACCTTAACTTATAAAATTTATTTTATCTATTTGGATTCTAGATCTAGAGATTCTAGAATCTAAATCTACGCAAAAACTAGACGTAGACGCTAAGTCGCTAAGATCTAGATTTAGACTGTATCTACTCTTAAATCTATTCCAAAAATAAATTTCTATATTAAACTATTTCAGGCCTTAATTATTTTATAGATATCTTTGTTTGTTTAGCTTTGGAACTGGCTAATTTGGGATAAAAAATTAATTTGAAAGAATAGGCATATTCGCGTAAGCTAAGTTTTTTAAATAGGTTTTCATTCTCCATGTTTTACAAATTACCTAAATAGATAAGAAGATAGTGTACCTAATACCACGCAGGTGGCGCGGGATCGAGACACACCAAATCAAACTTCATTTTTATTTTATTTTTATATGTGAATCTTCCGATTTTAGACTATAAAGAATGGAACTACTTCATTCACATTTGATTTTGATTTAGATCTAGATCTATAGATCTACTCATCAAGATGTACGCAATGAAATATATACAATTTTATCGGTCAAACTAATACAAATTACTAATATCGTGTTGTAAAGCATATTGCGTTTTGACCAATAACTATTTCACAATTTTTTTTTCTCAAACAAGTACAACATTTTAAAATATATAGGCCTATAATTCACGTGAAACGGGTACCTATGGCTAGTAGGTATATAAATGCATCTTATTCGATATTTCTTTAATAAATCTCGACGTGTTACAGCGCCTAGACTAGGCAAAACTTTTCTTTTCCATTCTTGTAAAAACGATAACTTGAGTACCGATTACGCTTTGTTGAAAAATTAACTTTTAGAAATATTAAATTCAAATGTGTGGTTGTCTATTAATATTTTAGAACGAAGTGTTAATACTCTTCTTCATTTTCTCAAAAGGGGTCATCCATAAATGACGTCACACTCGTAGGGGAGATAGGGGTCCGTAATTTTGTGACGATGTGTGATGAGAGGGAGGGGGGGGGGGGGTTCAGATGTTGCGACGCAACACTTTTGCATTATAAAAAAGCAATGTTAGAAAACGAATTTTAGACGTTATTTCGCCATTTAGATAACTGTTTTAATAAATTGTAATAGTTTAGACAAGATTTTAGAAAAATATCGATGTTTAAAAAAAAATCAACTGCAATTTTGAGGGGGGTTGTAGGTTGAGGTGTGACGTCATTTTAGGGGGGGGGGGGTCTGGCTTTTTGTGACGACGTGTGACGGAGGGGAGGGGGGGAGGTAAAAATCGTCAAAAAAAGCGTAACGGCATTTATGAATGACCCCAAAGCCGGAAAATCAATTATTGTTATGTTAGCCAAAATTTCAGATATAAAATATTAATTTGCATGTTCTAGTTACTTTCTCGTATATACGAAGTATAGAGAAAGTCTTGTAATCGTGCAAAAAAATCGAGATTTTTACAAATCTCGACGTTGTACAACTCACTGATACGGAAAAACATAATTTTGCAACATCGTCCGAATGTCTGTGTGTCTGTCTGTGTGTTTGTCTGTGTGTAAACACGATAACTTGAGTACCGTTACAGGTTGATGAAATTTCATATATAAGTATTTTATCAAAATCGTAGATCCTGATCAACTTTTGAGCGATTTCCAATAACCGGAAGTGGTACTTTTTCTACTTTGAATTTTTCAAAAACCTATAACTTGAGTACTATTTCAGATAGATCAATGAAATTTCACATGCAAGTAAAAGATCTAATTCCCTACCTTCAGTCAAATTTTGAAAAATTTCCGTTGACCGGAAGTACTAATTTACGCTATTTCAGATTTCTCAAAAAACGCATGTAAATTTATAAAGTACTAATAATTCTTTTTTCTATGAGATTCTTTTCTATTTTTAAAAGTTTAAGTAATTAAAAAAAAAATTAATAAAAAAACTTGATACTAATCCACTTTGTATAGTATGTACCACTTAAATATACCAATATTTTAATTTTTTAAAAATCAGAGTTCGGTTAATGCGCAATCGAAGCAGATGGGGTTCGGTACCTCCAAACAAGTTGAGATCCACTGTTCTAATTATGTCGCTCAACCGAAAATAGCTTTATCGACCTTTAAGTTTAAAACGGTTAATTTATACATTATAACGTAGATAATGTTAAGTGAAGCTTAAATGCAACAACGCCTCCGTTTAAAGTTGACACGCTGGAGATATCCTCTAGTGCAAAGAAAAAAATGTTCACATGATGAATTGCCTACACGAAGTAATTCATCTATAAAATTATGCCGTAACGTGAAGACCTGTTGACAGCGTCCATGCTTAGAAGAGTAATTATCTCTAGTTCGAGACGCAGGTGTAAATGCAAAAACGTTTTTCTGAAGTGCACGTAGGGCATAAACGAACGCGACGATTTACATATCTAAAGCATGTTTAAAACATAATATATCATGTGGCATTAATCAAACACACAGCGTTGGCTCTAAGTAAAACATTTTTGTTTTTTTAACAGTAGAGACGAAATAGGTTACAATTTAAAACCTTCATAAGATATTAATATACGGAATGCTAAAGTAATATAACAAAGCGAACAGTTTGTCTTTCGATGCAATTCACATTTTGAAGATTGTAAAAAATTTTAAAAGGTCAATTCGTTATTAAATTTCAAAAATTCAGAAGTTCAACTATAAATAAGACGTGTATTAGCATCAGGATAGCTTAATAGCTGGCTTTGGCGTAGCGAGGGCGGGGCGGGAGGTGCGGGTCGTACCGGGTGACACTATTCATACAGGGGGAGAATTGCAAAATTTACAGAAACATGCTTTTTTTTGGCCGTTCGATAATAATTAATTTAAGTTAAATAGTTTTTTAAGTAAAAATCGACATTTATAACAAAGTGGTAGGGGCGACGCCTAGACGATAAATAATGCCACCTCCAACTTTATTATTTACAAACGATGGATAAACATCGTTACTATTAGGTCTGTAGTGATTAAATCTCATAAGCATTCATGTAAGCGTATGAGGCGTATATTTAAATATTTATATTTATATATACACATACGTTTCTTGGGGGTGTGACACTACGAAATGCCGCACCGGGTGACACCCGCCACTGATAACCAGCACTTAACAAAATATTTACGAACGTTTGATAAAAAAAAGATAGAATCTTGTACACAAAGGTCGACATTAATATTTTGTTGCTAATTTTATTTCCAAATACAAAATATACTGTCAAAAACAAATGTAATACTTGGTCTATCGAAGACGTGTGGTGTTAAAAATTTTTTCGAATCATTTGTAAGACTAGTTTAGCAAAATTTTAGTAAAACTTCTGTAATATTTTACTAGCATTTATTTGTTAGTCATCTTTTTGCTTACTTCTGTATCCATTTATATATATATATATATATATATATATATATATATATATATATATATATATATATATATATATATATATATAAATATAAATA